TATATATATATATATATATATATATATATATATATACACAGTATATATATATCCATAAATTGTACATTTATGCAGTCTAACATCCATACTATCAGTCATTCATGTATGTGTGTATAAAGGTTTTAGAGTGTATTATAATGTTATTTTTTTACACTATAATATTATAATTCAGGACATGGCAAAAAGAGCACGACGGCTGTTGCTGGATGTTTTGCAAGAAAGTCAACAAAGGCATCGTTCTTGAAAGCCTTCCAGATATTTGGACATATTTCTATATTCGACCGATTCTAGGAGGTTAGTACTGTTCATTGTAGTACACCATGTTTTAGAAAATGTAACACATATGAAGAGGGAATTATATTCCTAGACAAATATTTGAAATTTCAAAATTCAAGTCAGGGCCCCACTAAGGCAAACATTTGGTTGTACAGCGAATTCGAAGAGAGCACTTCGCATGCAAACTGTAATTCAAGAATTTTTTTTTTGTTTGTATATCTTAGTTCATTAGGCCTGATGTTACCATCAATATTGATGAGAGGCCACACAATATTTATTTGCCATGAAATACTCGCACCTAGGCCTGAAACATAGTGCAACCACTTCACAACCTGTCAACAGGGCAAGCTGGGGTAATTAAGCATGGCCGGCCTAGAATGTTCAGTGTGTGGCTCGAACCCTCAACAACGAGTTTCACAACCTGAAAGGAAATCGCTGCGCCAAACTGCCTTCCCCAAACTCCAAACTTGAAACGCATTTAAATGTATGAGATTACATAATATTTTACTGTTTGTTTTAGATGATGGTGGTTCCATTCTTCACTACATTCTATGCATAGAGTCAGATTTAAGTGAAACACCTGAAATAGTTGCATCGAGGGTGGCTGCTATCAAGCACTACTTCACATTAAAGAAATTATCACTCCCGCCGCTCAAACGCAAATCACTGAAGCATGTGACGGAGGGATTTGGTAGCAGCAGCAAGCAGGCAACGTCTGTAATCTCTGTCACAGAAAGTAGTCCTGATATTTTCCAAGCTGGGAATACCGAGTCGCAAGCATTAGGTAGCTCACCGAGCCATGATGCTTCATGTAGTAGCAAACCCGTTGTTGGACAAGGAGATGATGCTCAAGTATCGTGGACTTGGGACTCTTCAAGCGATGATACCGGATTTCAGAGTGATGGTATGCCAGCTCCTGTTAGAAGAAAGAACAAAGCACATAAAGCCAGTAAACAAAATCTAAGCAGCTTTGGAAGAGGACGATTCATGAGCTCAGGTAACAGTACAGTAGTAATAACAATATCTTTCTTTATTCTTTGTATGTATACTTATATAGCCGTAGTGGAGTTATAGCTTGATTCTTTCCTTTCAAGCCGATGGTCCTGTGTTAAAATCTTACAGTTGTAGGAATAAGTAGATTTATCTGAGCCTTGTATAATAAAATGGGATATTATACTGTATACCGTAAAAATAGATAGCCCAGGGCCCTTTTTTTTGTGACCTTTTCAAGGATTCTTTTCGAGGCTACTTTTTGAAAGAAAAGGGGAATTTTTTCAAAATAATTCTGTAAATTTTGGGAATTACTACTATAAAACAATAGGCCACTGTAAACATTTTTCAACCATGAAATCATGTAAAAAACCAAGAAAATCATTTTTGAATTATGATTTGGGACTTGGAAAGAAGCCCATGCTATCTTAAAAAGAAGCAATGGGCTTCTTTTCAAGGCTAGCTTTGCAAACTAAAGAGGGAGATTTCAATTCAAGATAAGCTTCTTCTCAAGATTAAGCCCAACAGACTTCTATTCAAGGTTTTATGGTATATAACTAGCACATTTATTACAACAAAAACCGTATTCATGGACTGGGGCTACAGTTTACCAGATCACTAGTTTTATTAAATATTTGTGAATAGCCTGAAATGACAAAAATCAATATTGTATAAATTTTTCTTTCTTTTTAACTTCTAGGTGAGAATGTTGACTATCGTACTTTAGCAAACCACAGTGCTGGAGAAGTTCTAGAAGAAGCACTAAAAGCTGGTGTTATCAATGTCAACACGAGTGAGTCTGATCAACAGCTGCAAACAGGAGGGTGGACGTAAGTCTTGATGAAAATGATTTAAATTGCAATTGGTTTAGTGGTTAAGTTGCTCGCATTCCTCTCCCTAGGTATGGGGGATTTTTCTCAACCAAAAGCAGCTCCACTCTTGTAGTCACTTAAGAACATTAAAATTAGAAATATAAAGACAGCACAGCCTTTAGTTTCGTAGTAGTTTTCAATGAATACAGTAGGTGGGATGCAGGGGTTAAATTTAGTTAATTGTCAATTTCCTTTGATTTCTTGGGTCTCTAGATTTCAACGCCTAGAAAAAGATGTGGTGATATTGAAAAAGAAAGAAAGAGGATCTCGTTTCTACAGGTAAATATCACTTAGTTTATGTATGCATGTATATATGACAGTGTAAAATCATTTTTGTTGCCCTTTGCTGTATTTTTGCAAGGCGATTTTGTGCTATTTCTGATACATATACCATATGTAATTTTTAACCACCTGTGTTCTGTGTAGTTAACGATTTAGATCCTTTTTAACAGCTTCTTAGGCAAAGGCTTGATCAGAGCATCACCAGAAAGTGTTTTCAAAGCAGTAAAAAATCCCAGAACAAGATTCATCTATGACAACATGTTAAAAAAAATGAACATTGTACGTGATCTCGGGAATGACCTTCTCATCTATAACATGGTGCACGAGGTTCCGCAGATAATCCGCAAGGAAAGTCGAGACTTTTGTTTACTGCAGACTAGTAGAACAGATGGTCAGAGGCACATTGTTGCTGCACGGTCTGTCGATTGGCCAGAGTGTCCCCCTAGCAAAGACGGAGTCGTCCGATCAAAGATACTTCCAAGCGGTTGGGTGATTGAACCGGTCCTAAAGAAGAATGAAGTGAACTCTGTCGTCACATACATTGTTCAAGTGGGTATCATGATCTTGCTTTATACTGGAAAAACATGCAATAAGCTATTTGCCTATGCCCATATCAAGGTTAATAAACCTACACTACATACAGTAACATCATTGGTTTATGTCAATTGACCTTGGATACGGGAATGCGCAGGACAAACTACAAAATGGCTTATTGCAATCTAAATAGGTTCAGTGTTGTCAAATTCATTAATGAAAACACTTGTTGTAAGTCTATAATAATAGAAATAATATTAAAATAGTCTTGCTATTGTTTAGATAAGTGCTTTTAGGAGCCTATCTTTCGATATTCAGCAAGCAATTTATTTCTATTGCAGATTGATGTTGGTGGCAAAGACGTACCCCAGAGTTTTTTGCAGTTCCTGTCTCGCAGAATCCCCCTCAGTGTCGCGTATTTGAGGCTTTTCTTGGAAGCGGAATTGCCATAGTTCAGTTTTATGTGCCCAATTCTTTTTTGACAGCTGGAGAAGGTAAATTTTAAACCTGTGCTCTTGTCATTTACAAGCATCCACCAGCTTTTAAACAAGTTATCTTTTTGACAAAAAAGTCGCATTGTAAACAGTACCTGTACTTTGTTACAATGTTCATTTTAATGCTTAGTAATAAGAAGGAAATCAGCACTTTCTATACCAAATATTATAATAGTACAGTATTATTATTTATATGTTGATTCCAGTAAAAGCTCTAATGAAGTAAAAGCAATAGGCAATGATTGATTTTATTTAATGTAGTGGAGACTGTTATTATCTGAGCTGAATAATTTCATCTCAAGAATCTAAGGCTATGTTCAGACTTGGATATAAGCCAAGCTTGAGTTAAGCCCGGCTTAACTTTGTCGGGCGTTCAGACTAGCGGGATTAGCCAGGAGGCACAGGACATTTGTTTGGCTTGGTTTCTTGCTGTCTTAAGTCCAATCCAGACTATCAAATTTTGAGTAAATATGGTCATGAAAACATCATATCTTGACCATATATAGGCATATCATGACTATATACGGGTTGTACATCAGTTATTTTTTCAAAAAAATGTTGATAGTTCACTTTGAAGTTCTGATGATACAGGTTTGACATTACAGAACACACATTTTTTTTTAAATAAAGAAGCATTTATCCTCACCAGGATATGAGGCCAAAATGGCAGTGGCATATCTAGTGGGGTGCACACCCCTCCAAAAATTACTCGCCCCCACCCCCCAAAAAAAATCACGGTCAAGTATTTGAAAAATCACCTTATTTTGCAAATTCGCGCACCCCGCTCCCCCGTTAGCACGCCCATTTCAAGACTTCTAGATACGCCACTGCAAAATCCCCCTATAACCATCGTTTTGACAAACCTGATATAAGGCCAAATTACTCCTGTCTCCCCAATTTAGAAACTCTACTATGTTATAGCCTACACTGTGTTTTAACCCATCTAAGATCTGATAGCTGGCAGTAGAAATAATAATTTCATGGCAATATCATTTGTGTACACTTTTTTGCTTCACATATGTTAATAGATAAACAAATATTTCTTTTTTTGGATACCAAATCAATCTGGGGACATTGTTCTTCCTTTGAGTCCAGATGCACACAGGATTTTCATGTGTAATATAAGTGCAATTTTTAGTACAGTATTTTATATAATGCATATGCCTACTGCATGTTAAAAGGTTTTTAATGGTACTATATATTGTTCTACAAAGTGCAGCTTATACTAGTTATAAACAGTAATTTTATAATGGAATTTAATTCTAGTAGGTCCGAGTGGAAAGTTTGATAAAAAGACAAGTAGACATACCTGTATAGATTTACTAATCTAGTGTATAATGTAAGAATAATGAGATGCACTTTCATTGCCAGTCTACTGCTCAGAATAATGTTTATTTTGTCAATTTTTAGATAATAAAGTTTATCAATCAGTATCAATGCATTTTGTTATTACCAGATTGAAGCAAAAAATAGACATTTTACAGATAAAATAGTAATTTAATTTCCAATTGTTATTCCAGGTAGTCACAAATCAAACATTTAAGTTTTCTCTAATTAACCAAAGGAAAAAATTACATGGTGTCTGTTTAATGATGAGAATATTTTCTTGATATAATTTTTAATTGAAATAACCTAGAGATATAATGTCTTTGATAAAGAAAAGAATACAATGAAATACTAAGAAACAATACAATGTACCTGTACAATACCATGTACCTGTGTGTGCTTGTTGGACTCCCTGTTCTCATTAGTCAGTTGTTAAGTTTGATTGACACTCTAGAATAGTCCATTAAATGTTTGTGTGAAAATTAGAATTAGAAAATATTCTTCTTGTCAATTAACAGATGTATAAATAATAGAGTTCCTGTAATCTTTTACATAGACCACTTAATTAGTTGATATGGTTATCAATACAGTATAAGGATTTTTGCTGTAAAACATCTATAATTGATTTGATCCTTTACATGAACTATTTATAATCACAGACACAGTGGCGTAACAGCTATGAGCTCACAGTGGCGTAACAGCTATGAGCTCACAGTGGCGTAACAGCTATGGGCTCACAGTGGCGTAACAGCTATGGGCTCCCTGCTAAAGCCAGGGGCCCAGACCTTAAGGATCCTGGGACATTCTGCACCTCAAATCAGTTGTGGAACGTGCAAAAACATCAATATACGCCCTTTGCCATGTACCTGAAAAAGCAGACAGGGGCCTCACACCACTGCACAGACGGTACATTACTACTCTCAGATGTCAGACTATTTGAATAGAAGACTTGTAGCTCCACAGAAAAAGATGCACATGTTAGTTGGCACAATCTGCGACTAAAATAAATGTTCATTTCAAAAACATTCACAATTCTGCAACTTGTTGACAAAGGTTACTCATGTAAAGTACAAGGTATAGAATTGCATTGCATCCTACGAAACAGCCTCCATCTACTTCCCTCTCAAACACCACAGCATTGAATGTTTTTGATTTGTATTTTAATATTTTTTGATAGTGTTCCACAATGCTGACTATTATATTTACAGCAAAATAAATAGTCAAAATTAATATCAAATTGATCGAATGCGCTTCTGTTCAACAAAGATGACATGTTTCTTCACTGAAAGAAAAAAAAAATGAAATTATTCTTTATTGGAATCAACATTTTGAAATATTTAATATGAGATTTAACTGTTTCCAAATTTACTATCAGTTTTAGCATAGAATGTCAGAGAGATGCATTTAGTATTCTATTATAATCACCTCTGTGCTCTGTTGCCCTCATCGTCAACTTTTGTAAGTGTTCAAATCATCAATTTGATAAATTTAGATTAAAAATGTCATAAAGACATGATTTTCTTGAGAAAAAAAAAATATGAAAAGGAATCTACAATATGAAATTCTTAATGCTCAGATTTTTTGTGGAAGCAATTTGGTGCTCGAAGTCAGGATTTTAATCCATCGCTGTGCACTACACTTGTATCCTTCAGCAACTCTCCACCCAAGAGCATAAATGGGTACATGGTAGGTTTGTTGCCTGCTTCTGAGCCAATATGGCAGCAACACTAAAGCATGTAGATCCAATGACAGGGAAAACAATGCGTTTTGTAACCTAAAGTAAAAGGCGCTACATAAATATCAAGTATTAACACAGTTTAATACCTTTATAGTCAAATAAATACTTGACAAGCTTGTCAGCAGTTCTTGGTCTTGTCATTAACTTAATAGTGTTTGTTCCTGCAGCACTCCTTAACATAACCAGTACATTTCTGCAATGATTTCATATGATTTACTGTAAATGAGTATGATAAGGTATTTGGGACTGAGTAAAGAATTTGCAGACTTTACAATTACTGTAATATAAAGAAAAAACTTCATGGGTACAATGATGAAATTATAAATGCAATGTTAGGCAACAAAAAATCCCTTTATGGATGCAAACAGTGGTAACCTTATAAATGCCTCATTGAGGCTGTTGGTGTTTGCTAGTACTGTAGTAGCCAACAAAATGAGCAACTCCAAGTCTTTGATGGTAGACTTACAGTATGTACAATGTATTACAAAAGGCAGTGGCTAAAACTGTTCTTACAGCAGTCTTTAACAAATTCCTAATTATGATTGGATATTATTATTCCAATCCAATAATCATTCATTCAGAAATTGTTTGAAAAATGTTTTACAGTAACTATATTTTTTTACAACCAATAAACAGATAACTCACTTGCTTTTCTTACTTGCAACTGCAAAATAAAAAAAACCCGGTAAAATAAAACATTAGGCCTATCAAAACTTCTAGTAACAATTAATCAATATTATGAAAAAGTAGGTCCTTATAACCATAGAAGTCTCATTTACTGGAGAGAGTATATATAAAGCGGTTTGGTATCTGGTCAGGTTTAGTATTTGGCCCCATGATCATGAATATGTATTTTTTAACTAAACTCGTTAATACGCTCGCACATGCAACATCCATCCAAAGAGATAAGACAATTGACCAATGTTTTTAATAATTGAATAAAAATTATAAATTCTATAATACAGTATGTGAATTTCATTCATGTAGCTTTCATATTTTTGGCACAACATTATGCCTTGGCTAGTACTAGAAAGTAGGATCGGAGGAGAGCCTAGGCCCTAGGCTAGTAGCCTCCTACTTGCTAGGCTATACACTATTAATAAGCCTAGGCCAACTACGATGGCCTAGGCTAGGGCAGGCCTACTACCTAGGCTAGGCGTAGTCCTAGGCCTATCCTAGAGGTAGGCGAGTTCATGACCACTGGCTGTGATCTAATCTACTTACACTGAATTGATGAAAGAAACATTTTACTCGCACAGAGAGATCGAGAGGGGAACCAAAGATGCTTGGGGAACCAGTTCGAGGGGAATGCCAGTTCGATTCGAGCGGAATTTACTTCGAGCGGATGCTAGTTCGAGCGGAAAAAAGCTAAAAATCCGCTCGAATGTGCGTCCAAAACAATATGTACAGTAAAGTTCACAAAAAAGACTTATGCTAAGAAAAAGACAATTCAAATTTTCAAAAGGGACATTAAGGAAAAGTAAAAAAAGAAACTTCAGCCATATAAAATTAAAAGCAATCTTATACTAAAAAAAAACTTAAGGCAAAATAAAGTGATGCAAACAATCACATGAACAATTATACAAACACCATAAACGTACATGAAATACACATACAGTACATAAGTACATACATATCCATACACAACTGTATACCCAGTCACATGACTGTACCCGTACTCAGAGGCTCACAATTATAAACATAAAGACATACAGTACATACTGAACTCTATACCATCATTATTTTAATCTTCCCGATGAACACATGCAAATGATATGAGTTACGTAATTGCAATGGTCAATGCCAGGTCATATATTTATATAGCGCCTTCCACAGAAAACCGTCTCAAGGCGCTTTTGAACCACAAGAAACAAAGACAAAAGAACACGAAGGGGTGGGGGAAGGGGCAGTGCGCACCCCCGATTTTGAGATAGCGTTGCCATCTAGCGTGTACACGCAGGTACCTCGGCGTCACTGAGTTTGCTGGGCTCCGGTAGCTTCCATCAATGATAAGTGTATGGCTCCCCTACAGTTGGCGGTGCTACCTCAAGTAAGGAGGTGCGACTATTTAGGGGAAAAAACTTAACTACAGAACAACTTAACTACAGAAATTTAACCACAGAGATTAACAAATAAATGAGAATTATTAACCATGAGAAAGTTAACCAAGGTTGAAGAGATAAGCCTTCAAATTCTTTTTAAATACAAGGAGTATTGCATATTAATTTCACACACTTAATTGGGTTTTGATGCTTGTAACATATTAAAAGCAAACGGAAGTATAAAGTATTCTGTTCAAGACGAGTGGCAGCTGACAACACCCCTCACAGCAGTAGTTGACACAAATATTGTAAGTTTTATCTTGCAGTTCTTTATTTTAGGGAACCATGTGGTTTTATGCTTTATTTAATTTTTTATTTTTTGAGCTGCCCTTCACAAGCCCTGCCTTTTTGGGATTTGATCTTTATTATTTACATGCTATTTTCATTTGTACTTATAAATAAAAAAAAAAATAAGAGAAATAAATGGTGTTATTGAGTTGATATAATAAATGTTATCTTGCAGAGTTCAGTGCTGATTTATAATTTTCGTTGGATGATCTCAGGTGCCGTCTGGCAACAAGTGACTCATTCTTCTCTGAAAAGGAAAATTCTCCCTCTAAACCTTGCTAAAGATCAGTTAACACATGACTAAGATTTCATTTCACTTTACTTGAATTTCTCTTATTTTTATTTATTAAAATCTTCTCAATTTTTTGTTGATGGCATCCAGCATTTTTTTTATTATTATCACTACAGCAATAGACGATGGCACATATCTCCAATTATCTATAATTTGCACTAGCTTCCTATTAATGCACGAATAAAAGTATAAAATTCTAACATTTAAAACACTGCAACTCCAACAGCCCACTTACATTACATTACCTATTTGATCTCCCTCCTAAATGTCTCTTTATCCCCCTCTGTTCTTTTCACCTTAATTTGCTAATTTTTCCTAAGTTAACACCAAATCCTTTGGCCACAGATTATTTTTATTTTCAGCTGCCACTCTTTACACCTCCCTACCTAAACCTATTGCCAAATCACCCTCAGTTGCTGTTTTTAAGAACAAACTCAAACACTCCTTTTTAACTAAAAACATGCATAGCGCCTTTGATTTTTACTTTGGTATAGTGATATTAACACTACTGACTGGTAGTCAGCGAAACTGTTTATGTTAAAGATAGTAAGCAATTTTGGTTTTATGTAGAAGGAAACTAAATTGTTTTTCAATAATTATTATTATTGTTGTTGTTGTTTAATTTATTGTTGTTGTTATTATTATTATAATTGTGTACTGTATTCTTTTATTGTTAGGACCGCAATAAAGCCAGCTTCCAGCAGGGAGATGCTTGCAATCTGCCGCTTGACCTGGGTCAGTTTGGTTGTGTTGTAGCTGCCAATCTCATATGTCGGTTGCATACGCCTATGGACTTTCTGAATCGTCTGTCGAGTTTGGTTGCACCAGGTGGATTTCTGTTACTCACGTCACCATTCACATTTAGTGTTGAATATACACCAAAGGCAAGTCATGATTTTTTTTTAGAATTTCCAGTGGTGTCCTTCTGGTGGTGATTGGGCGTGTACTGCGTTCTTTAACATGCACATGGGCCATAATGCATATGAGACCAACTACAGTACTTAAACTTCTCATACGAAAGACGGTGCACTATTGTAACTTGCATTTCACCCCTCCAGCTGAAATACAAGGAGAGACCGGGGGCCAGCTCACCAGTTTAGCTGACTGTTCTAAGCTGCTCTCACTGTTTGTGTAGTACATATTAGAGGTTTAGTGGAAATACCAAAACCTCAGTGTCCTGCTCTTTGTGGAGCACTGTGTCTGTGATACATAGCTACATAAATGTTGGCATTTATTTGTCTCCTACAATAAGCAACTTCTAACAAGGTTTAAGCTATTACAGGTAGTATGCACTCTAAAGCATAATCGGCGAATCCATCCCATAGCCTTTAGATGAGTGTTTGGGAGAATGTTTCTGTTTCTTGCACCACAGACCCTGGTTCAAACCTTGCAAGTCTCTGTTTTTAGTTGCTTGGCTCCATGAATATCCCTCACATGGAGATTTTAGTGGGGTAAGTTGAATGAGGACCAATAAAGAATTATTATTTTTGTCAATAAATGAAATGTTCATTTGTATTTCAGAAAAACATGCTTGGAGGATATAAAGATAAAGATGGAAATCCAGTGTGGGCTTCGAATACGTTACAAAAAGTCTTGGAATTGGACTTTGAACTACTTGAAAGCAAAGAAATGCCATTCTTTATACGAGAGACTGCACACAAAAACCAGTGGACTGTTGCATATGCCATGATATGGAAGAGGAAAGAATGAAACTTATTCATTCAGACAGAATCATAAGATATTGTATTCTAGTTAAATATTCGCCTGGGTTTACTTTACAATAGTAACCATATTTTTGCATATATATTTATGAACATTTTGATTTTACGTATTACTGCTGGCAATAAAATCACAAATGTGAGGTCTCACTACAAAATGAGTCTCATCGTTAGAAAATCCAAAAATGAGTTAATATTACACTTTGGTAGATCACATTATAGACTTTAATTTGGTCTTTGAATGGCTTCCCTAGGATAAATAGATCCAGAGATGTTAGTATTTAAAGTTTAAGTGTATGAGAACCAGGTTTTGAGAAAATCGGCCTCAAAGATAAACTAACCTGTACAATAGAACTAGAATTACAGAATATGCGAAGAGAACACTGTTTTAGTAAGAAAATTCACTTAAAAAGTACACAATCATAAAATATAAGTATCAAGTTATTCAAAAACATTAATATCAAAAAATTTTTTAAATTTTGCCTTTGACCTATTTTGGTGAATATCTCAAAATGATTTCACCAACGATGCATCTCATTTCGTGGTGAGACCTCACAAATATGCAAATAAATTGTAAAATTAATATTAGTATATTTTGTTGATATTGAATAAATTAATAGCAGTTCTGTATAAAACAGTTTTCTATTTTACCTCATTCAACTCGGTCTGGGTACTTCTGAACATGGAGGTATAAAAGCACACTACAGAACCTTGGCTAATGTGCTCTTGGGGGCGAAGCTCTAGTACCTCCCTAGTCTAAATGGGACCTCCTACTAATACTCTTGGCATTCATTTTCAGTAGAAGACACCAACACTTCTGTACAGTACATATAATGTAAAAAAGCACTAAATTTATAGACTTAACCCAAAACAATATAGAGTGGGACACTCCTTTTAAGAAAACATTCTTTCGGCCACAATACGAGGGAAAGCATATCTTTTCACATTAAGGGGACAGTCTTGAAGGTGTCCCCTTAAAGGGTGGGGGGTTCTACTGTAATTTTTGACTAAATTGAATTATGTTATTGTGGAACTTTTCATACATTAGAGACAAATCAAAGGACAAACGAAATAAGGAATCAATAAGCCAAGCTAATCAAGTTAAAATATTAGTGCTGTCTCATTGCTATAGGCATAAGAGTAAATGCAAATATGAATAAACATTATCTTTCTTAAAATATCCTTATTTCAAAAATAAATAAACAATTTATTAACAGGCAATTCATCATAAAATAGGCATTTTAATGTCAATATATATCTTTTATAGATCACGCGTAAAAACATCAACCAAACAGCATTCAAAGACATCAATAATATGCAAGATAAAATTACAGGATGAAACTACAGTATTATATATTTGGTAAATATTCTACATTGAAATTATAAAATATACAAGAGGACAGAATCAACTAAACATTCATGAATAACAGAACGCTAAAAAAAGCAAAATACATATGGAAGACATATTGTCAACTTATTAATACTGCATTAATTAGCTTTCTGAATAAATCGCAAACAAGTGTATTATTAGAAAGGTTAGGATTTCCATCTTGCACCTTTATAAAAAAAAATATAGCAAAAATTGGTGAATGTATTGAATGCTTATTTTTCTAATGAAATAATTTAATTTTCAATTGTCATGGCAACATAGATTTTGTTTATTGTTTATACAAAGGACCGGAGGCCGACAGTGTGAATATATTTTTCGTCTGGAAGGAAACAAAAGCCTCATTAAATTATAGTATACAAGACAAAACCATTAATCTTTATGTTTAATACAATATCTTCTTAGCTGGTGTTCAAAGTTGAGATCTAGCTTATAGGGCCTATATATATATATGTCATCAAATATGTAGGCATATATATATATATATGTGTGTATATTCTCCAATGTTATACATAATTGTTATTATTAATATCAATTTCATTCTTATTTGCCCATATTATTTTGGAATATGTTTCATTTCATATTATTATTACCGGTACTTGAGCAAACAAATAAATTTATGTTTTGTTTACTAATGTCTTCCGAAAATGCAACGACAAGATCTAGTTAAAATATGTTTAATTCGAATATAATGGAAGAACAATTTTTTTTGTTAAATTATTTAGGCCTAATTGGTTGATGATGTAACTTTGGGCCATGGCCTACGTTTATTTTGATTAAATTAGGCTACCCGATTTGATACCTTGTCGCATGGTACAATTTTCAACATAATACTTATGTTTATATACAATATATAAAAAAATATTAATAAAATTAATTTTCAGGTTAATCAATTTCAACAAGGATTTTACTTCAATCTTTGCTTTCATTGAAATTTATTTTTTTATCCCTTCCCTCTATAGTATTTAATTTTTTTTTTTTGAGAAGTCATTGACATGGTCTTTTAACGTTATGCTAGATCATACACAATAGCTACGTAGTGACTCGATAAGAAGAAGAAGAAGAACGTTATATATCTATCACTCATTTTTTTTTTTTAATGAACTGTTACGAAATGATTATTTATATTTTTTTATAGCTGGTGGCTCAACACACCCATCTACTACGGTTTGCAATCATTTGTCAGAGAACGGTAAAGAGGGAATCTTAATTATTCACCCGAAGTTATCTAAATGATATGATAGTATCAGTTTCGGCGACAAATAATAGTCAGGATAATTATGATGACGTCACCAAACCTTATAAGGGGATTCTGATCAGATGGCTGAGGACTGGTGCTGGCACCAGAACAAAAGTTGTATCAGCATTTTATTTGTCACCGAAACTTATCATTTAGGATTACTGTTGAAACATATTCTAGTGTCGTAATCGTGCGTTTGTGTCCTATAACTAGGCCTATTATAAATAACATGGACATGTGATGTAACAAACCTAAACTTAAAAACAATTGATTGATAGATTGCGTCAGTCCCGTGGCCGGGAAGGGGGAGAGGGCTTGCCCCTCTGGTAAGTTTTTCCTCCCTGTAAAATTCAAAATGATAATTTAGTATGGACAAAAATTACAATAAATGAATAACAAATATTTATTTTTTTAAATTTATGTAGGCCCGGCCCTATATGCCTAATACGGCTTTCATGTGTGATCATTATTCTGGCACCAAAATAGACTATGCAATAGACGGAATGTTTGCTTATATGAGTTATTGTATGGTTCACTTATCTCTATGGTATTCCAGGGATGTGTAATATATATTTATAATCTACTGTATATCTTCTGTATCTAGATAAAACCATATTTCAATACTAGCCTCAACAATGTAATATTTCCGACACTTAAAAGTGCTCTCCATTCCTTAATCTTGCGCCTTACCCAACCATCGTGGGGCTGAAATGACTGTCGACATGCATAGTACAGGAGCGGCGCCAGGAATTCCCCAACGATGGGTCCAAGCTCCCCGACAAGGGTCCCCCGGGTCGGGGAAGCCTAGCACGGGAAGTCTAGCACCCCCACCCCTCCCACCCCCACCCATGGTCGGGGAAAATTGTTTCGATTATGGTATTAATTATTTAAAAAGGATAATTTGATAGAAAACCATGCAAGGTAAGATGCCCCCTGTCGGTGGTACTAACCATCTGTCGGAGATACTAACCATCTATCGGAGAAGATCTGGCGCTACCACCACAACTCATACGATCGCGATAGTATACAACACCTCGCACATACAGTAGCACTGTTCGCAGTAAACAGTTTTTAATCCCTAAAATTTGACAGCTTAGTCAGGCGTACCTAAATTGTACTTTCGGCGGTCGAGACAAGCATACTTCCCGAACTCTTAATCGTGTGAACTGAAAGTAATGAAAAAGAAAATGAAATGAGTAGGTGAGAGCTGATGATGATAATAATAATAATAATATTAATAATAATAATAATAATAATAATAATAATAATAATAATAATAATAATAATAATAATAATAATAATAATAATAATAATAATAGCACTGTTAAGCCCTCTATGCACTTCAAATTAACATTACCCTGGTCATGTTTATACCAATGACGTTGAATATCAATGACTTATCAACGACAATTGAATATCAATGACATTCAATTGTTCTCTAATTTCTCCATTGTGTAAGTTCCCTTTAAGGTAAGTTTTAGTACAATAATGATGATGATGATGATGGGGATGATGATGATAATAATAATAGGCTAGTAATACTGACCCATGGTGTTTGAACTTTTAAAGATGATGACAATGATGATGATACTTTATGATGATAACGATGATGATTGTGATTATGATGACAATGATAATGATGGTGATACTGATGATGCCACTAAATTGCCTTTTGAACCATTTCTCAGAGCCTTATACCTCTATGTAGTAATGTAAAGTCGATTAAATCATGCTGATTGCGGTATTAATAATTGTTATTGGACAACTGAATTTTTATCAAACCAAATTATATGCAATATTACAATTTTATTGTTTAGGAGTTACAGTATGAACAATAAAACTATTCCAGCAAAATTGTGATGCAGAACCTCAAAATTACTTTACATTTTCAGTACTATATTAGGCTTATTATCAAAATGTCTCATAATAAGCAAAAATACCTGAAAACTAAATATTGTTTAGAATAATGAAAGACAAACTGAGTCATTTAATTTTAAATTCTTAAAAATGTTTTAAACTAGTTTACCGTTTTGTGTGTTTAATCAATCAGGGCCTCACTCAGGTAAACACATAGCTGACTACAAGCGTACAAAGGTCAGTTGAAAACCGAAATTAATTGATCATTATTAATAGGACTACTACTGTAACATGATCCCTAATAGACATTCGTATACACATGAGAACATTTTAGTTCCGGAGTTCTGTGAAATGTCTGCTGGATATGTATAAGAGAGCAAAACAACAAGACAAAAAGAAAAAAAATAGATGTAAAGAAAACATGTATGATATGTTTCAAATATTTTAGGCGGGACCGATTTCAGTAATAACGCTCTTTGTGTCGCCTGCCTTCATAACGGCAAATATGTAATCTTTTCAATCACTAGACTTTGCCCTTTCATATTCAATAAACAAATTAATTCCAAACACTTGGATAGCGTCAGTACTTGGTCAGTACAAAAACTACCACTATTACACCTCGATGTGAAAAGATTAGTTTTTTGTTTCAGTGGACCCATATGATTACAATACTGAAATGTCGTATTATACAACCTCAAGTCCAAGCAGGGATCGTATGAACGCGACCATCAGCAGTCAGAAATCATATACATCATATTCATCGCTTCCAAGGAGAACGGGAGGCGCAAGGGGCGGCGGTAGGATCCAACGATATGGAACGCCCGAGTCTCCAGCAGTACGAGGGCTTATGTCACAGTCTGCAAAATTTGCTGGAGAATATGGAAAGTATGGATTTCAAGATGGATTGGAAATTTATGTTTTTGGTAAGTGTATTAATTATTAAGATGTTAATAAATGCCTATTATACCGTATACTGTAATTAAGGTATTATGATAGGCAAATAGGAAATCTAATTTGAATATCGAATTTATAACAGTACAATAAAGCCCTGTCCAGACTATCAAATTTTGTTTGACACACACATGTGACATGCATCCTGTAGTCATGATGACAATATTTAGCTATATCATTACTATATATGGGTATAATTCGGTTTTGTTATCAAAGAAAAGTTGGTAGTGTTGACAATAATAGATTAATGTATTATTAAACATGTTTGCATTCAACCTTACAGTGCTCATCAAACAACGACTCAATAGTTAAATGCAAGCATCATTGTAAATGGGAAGGGATTTTTTTGTGATAAAAAATCATTGAAACGCAATCCTCTAAGATAAAGTCCTATCCACCCCAACTACGGACCAACGTTGTCTCTTTCCCTCTCTCAAAATTACGTAATAGATCATAACAATGCGTGAAGTTATGATTGAAGCTTGTGTTAGGGTAGTAACTCATAGTATGAGACAAGGGAAAGCAGATAATCCGATCTGCCATACAGATCCAAGCTTCAAACCCATCCTCTCAAAGTTACTTCAGCCGCTCCTGCCAAGCTACGGCGACTTCCTCTAAGGTACAGACTTATATTCCCAGTTATGGACACACCCTTACAATGTGTAGCATAAAAACAGCTCGTGTGAATTTGAGGCGTGGCAGCAAAATGTCAAAATCTTGAATACTCATGAGACTAATGAATTTATCATAATCATTTAGGCTATCAAAGTTGTTTTAATATTGGGTTACTTATACCGTACTGCATTTTAATGTTTATAATATTTTTTTAAAATTATGCATATAGAATTGCGATATTATATTTTTGTTGTCATGAGGAGAGCCCCTTGACAGTAGATCTTCTACTTTTGGGTAAATCCTGCCACATGAAAACAATTACTATTTTTGAAATTTTATATTTGTATATTTTATATATTTATATCTATTTGGCGAAATAAATGAAATGAAATGAAATGAAAGGTAATTCATTTAATTCAGTACGTTTCGTAGACAAAACCTTACTCTCCCGATTAATAAATACGATATAGGCCTAAGCCGGACCGACAGTCCAACACTTCAAAATTGCAAGTAATTAAAAACGGAAACAAAAACACTTTCCCTTTCCAAGTGATGCCTCAAACCAAACACTTGTATATATATTGGAGACTGACCAAGGCAGGCCTCCTCACAACATGCCCACGCATAGGTCATGGTAACTAAACGGAATAATGATAGCTAATTATATACATTTATTTACATACATATAATGATATACGCACACACATGCCTATATATGCCTATAACATGACATCCCTAATATATCCTAATAACCAACTTACCCCTTCAAAACGCTCTAAAGAGGTACGTCCGTCCTCCACGGCTAACTAAAGTGTAATGACTTTGCGGCGACTGGACGTGTTCTCATGTTAGCCTGAAGTTCCGACATCGCTGATTTGGTAGAATTATTATGCCGTTTATATAAAAAAGGGAATTTATTTACCAGTCGTTAAATTGTTGAAGACAATAATATTCCGACTCTTAGCCCGGCGGCCCTAAATGTTTCAAAATTAAAAAATTAAAAAATATTGCAAAATATTTGTTTTGGATACTATACAAAATAAAATTTACAATTACAAGTAAAATTTTAGCTACAGTAGTACATAAATTTATTAGTTTTTCCATTGTATTTTGTGTTTTTTGGATATAATAATAATAATAATAATAATAATAATAATAATAATAATAATAATAATAATAATAATAATAATAATAATAGTAATAATAATAATGATAATAATAATAATAATAATAAAATTATTTATAGAGCGCTCTTTCCAAAGAAAAACAGAAAAAAAAAGATCGAAGCGCTGAAGTACAATTAAAATACCTTAGGAAATAAAATGTCTTAAGTATATTTTTAAAACTGTGTAACAACTTTTAAACAATAATTAACAAACCATGAATATTTAACCTAATCTTATAAGCATCAAAATTATTACCTAAAATACTGACATTGTTTAGCATACTTTATGATCAAATATTTGCTTCCTTATTATGTATTCAATGTGTCATTAGACCACACCATACGATTTCATTGCTGATTTCAATTACTCATTTCTTTTCAGTGGTATCTAGACTATCGTTGGTATAATTTTTGAAATTCTTTTGTTATCTTTGAATAAATACTACTTGCAGCGCCACCATATGAGCCAATGAAGTTTATCAGTTTAAAAAATGCTTTCGAATGATTTTGATTTTCCCTTCCGTTTAATTTACACTTAATTCTTTCACCACCTGTGCCTACATTGTAGACCGTTTAATATAAAAGCCAAGCCTTAGTTATATCAGGCGACTTGACAAAGGAGAAAACAACTTACTGAGAAGCACAAAATGTCAGCATTCTGGAACAGAAAAGACAAATTAAAAACTAGTTAAAACAAGACTGAGACTGAAACTCACTCGGGAAACCGGTCGTACTTCTAATGAGGATTTAAGGAAAGATTATGAACTAAATTTTTTCATCGTGCGCAACTCCGAAGGATTACTGGCCTAAAATACCCCCATAAAATAGCTAATAAACACGTTCAGCGATGTATTGCGAGGCTTCTTTCTTTAGATATCTTAGAATCGAGTTGGTGGTTACGTGGTCACACAAAACACCAACAATCCTACAAACATAGCAATCAACTTCTACTTTATGGAGACCAAGTGACTGTTCCCTCAGATCATGCTCGGATCGAGACCAATAGCAGAACATTCAGTGGACTCCAAGAGCTGCCACAATCACAACTCTCCATAACGACCTCAACAGGCTGCGGCTCGCCAACACTCAATATTCAGCTCAATTCAAAATTTTAAATGACATGGTCATCCAATGTAATTTCGATTATGCATATTCCTCATGGTACTCGGGGGCAACAAAATACCTCAAAAATAAACTTCAAGTAATTCCAAACAAAATGGTTAAGTATATATTGAACGAGATGCCTAGAGCCCATATTGGGCAAACGGAGCTAGACAGCATTGGCTTATTAAATGTAGAAGACCGAGTAACTCAGATAAAATAGAACACGGTACATAAAATCATCCATAATTCTGCAACAGCTTACCTTCATAATAATTTTTTTAGAACTTGTGAACAACATAATTATAGTATTAGGCAGAGTGAATTAAATTTTATTCCGCCAATCTCATCCAACACAGTAGACAGTACGTTTTATGCCTCAGCAATCAAAGAGTGGAACAAATTACCAAATGAAATAATCCGTAAGCATGAATTTGTTTAGAAAATCAGTAAAAGAACACTTACCTAAACTGCGTTACTAATACTGTAGGCCTAAGTGATGATTTTTAAAACTGTATTCCTTAAGCAAGTGATAATTTTTAAAATTCATTTTATCTCATTTTAATTGCTGGACCCTAACGGAAATAAACCTGTGTAATTGGTTTTTGGGCTATCCTGATCAAAATCAAATTAATGTTTTAACGCTTTTAAAAATCTTTCTCTTTTTGTAAAAATTTTTATTGTCCACATTGTTTTTGTCGCTGTTGTCATTTTCATGTTGTTTTACTCGTTTTTAGACCACTTATTTTACCTCTCTTAACTGTGTGTTACTGCCCCGTTACCATTTTTAACTTCTCTTTCTTATGTTTTTTGTTTGTTATCTTGTGATTTTGGTCAAATAAATAAATGAATGAATGATTGAATGAATGAATAATGAATAAATGAATGAACGAACGAACGAACGAGTGAATGAGAAACTAAGAACGTTAGCAAAGCTGATCAGGGAACTAATTGACGCGGTCGAAGCGGAATTGTTCGTTTGACTTTTCGGCGATGCGGCGATGATGATGATGAATGCGCATTCTCTGTCACTTATATTTATTTAGTAAAAATTACACTTTGTTATGCATTTAATTACATTTGTTATCGATATTTTACATAAACCTGCCAGTAAAAATTTCATATTACTATTTATTTTAGAACACTTTCTTAAAATGTCATTGGATGATAAACGACAAAGGAAGAAGCACAAGACATTTGTCGAGTTGGATGAAATGATACCCTGGTCGGAATATGCTCTGAAAGAGAAGATACCCAAGGCAGGTAAGAAGATATTATATATGTATAGACCAATGATTATGTATTACCGGTACTACCGGTAAAAGATAATAAGTCTATAAAGATATATGTATAATAATATTCACACTCACAGATTGATCTTCTGCAACGTCCAAAATGCAATCCCGCAAGACGGGTTTAAGTTTTCTCTTTTGTAACACAATTATATATTAAGATATATAGATATAGTTAATTAATTAATATATATTTATTTATTTATTTATTTAACACAGACCTATAAGCCTATGTATATATAGAATTGAACTCAAAATTTGTAAAACAGAAGATTCATATGCTGATATTATTTATTTGGATGATCCGGTGGTATTCCTACTGTATTAATCTATTCTATCAACAGATGAAATTTACTTCAGGCCTAATCCTAAGCTAAATGCAAAAATATGCCTATGGGAAGGGGACATAACGAGTCTTTGCGCCGATGCCATTGTCAATCCGACTAACGGGACATTGATGAGTGGGTCAGGATTAAATGGAGAAATTCATTCACGAGCTGGACCACTATTGCGAGAAGAATGCAGAGAATATCCTATTCTGCCTGGGAAGAGGATGATTCGACTCGAGACAGGATACGCCATAGTTACATGTGGTAAGTTTTGAGTAGAGATTCAGTACGATTTGATTGGCCGTGCGGTTAAGCATAGAGTTATGATGACGGAAACATACGCTTAATAAGCCAAAACAGACACTAATAAGTTGTTGTGATGTTTTGTATGTATATGCGTATTATGTAAGTATGAATGGTGTATATTATGTAGGTATGTATGTACGGTGCTTTGTTTGATTAGCTTAGGTGGGGTAATCCGCCTTGGTGGATTCCCAACATGTATATATGGAAAAGAGCAAATAAAAGTTATTGACATGCATGTATAAGTTTATAGAAATTATAATATTGTTGTAGTGACGTAATGCACAAAGTTATATCTTAAATTTGTCTTTTTTTTTTTTAATATCACAGGTTATTGGCTTCCAGCAAAATGTAAGTTTAAAATGCAATATTAAAATTGCTTACCGTTCATTTTATTAAGGCCAACTCAGACAGCGTCGTACGACGCAGCCCGACGCGATTTGTTGTCGCGTCGGGTCTGTGTGAGTTAAACGCAGACGCGATGGTGTGCGTCGGGGGCAGTCGCGTAGTAGAATATTAAACGTGTTTCTCACGACGGCTTAAGACTGTCCCCGACGATAAATCGGATCGGGCTGCGTCGGCCGACGCTGTCTGAGTTGGCCTTTACTTTCAACACAAAACATTACGGTCAACACAATAATCTACAATAATATACTTATCAATACGTAAATTACAAGAAATGAGTTTCGTCTTTTTCAGATGTTATTCACACAGTCGGTCCAACAGTCAACGACACTGTGAGAGAAATCCATGAAAATTTGTTGAGCAGCTGCTACCATGAATGTCTTGATGCAGTGAAAACACACAACGAACGTTACCAAAAGATCCACAACTCCAGACAGGACGAACTCGAAGAGGTCGAAAAGAACAAAAAAACTTTAGAGAAACTCGGCTTGGAAAGTACTGAAGTTGACGGTGAAACTATACCGGTAGAGGTCGAGTATTCCGACATTTCCCAGGGCAACGTATTTCTGAAGCCTCCAATAAAGTCAATAGCGTTTCCTTGTATATCTACGGGCATTTATGGTAAGTTCGTGGCCAGAAAACAAAAACAACTTTTTACTATTGTCGCCCAGAAGCAATTATAAGAAATGTTATGCCCTATAACCGATACCATATTTACATCATTCTTTATTCAAGCACTGTGTTCTACCAATATTGGTTTACATAAATATATGCCTGAGTGTGTAGGCCTACATACAACTATTTACTGTAGTGGTAATATTTTCTTGCATTGTCTGGTCTTGCGTAATTTCATTAGGACCATTAGAACCCTATTAATAACAAAGTATAGAATTGCAATTCTGTACTCTTTGTTAAACTTGTGTAATCTATACTTAGGATACCCTTCGGAGAAGGCTGCGGATGTTGCATTGATGACGATACGCAAGTGGATAGACAATCCACATAACTACAATGCGGTAAGTATTGACCCACGGTTCTTTCAATATTGTAACAAATTGTAGAACTAAATCATGTTCTAAAAATATTATATGCCGGAAATATCTTGAATATTTAATTATAATCATTTATATTTAAAGAAAATAAATATTAAAACGAATCGTAATTTGATAATTAAATATTGACCATGTGATTTCCTAAATTGGTTGCCTCTTTTATTTTTCATAGGTTGAAAATTTGGATATGATAATATTTTGCGTGATGTTAAATAATGACCTGCGGATATACAATGATCTCATTCCGAAGTACTTTCCTATATATGATGGAAAAATAAGGAAAACCAGTCATATTTCCAGCCCAGCGAGGACCAAGGCAAGAGTAGCACCCGTCATGGAGAGAAAAACTAATACAAATCCTACAACAGAGATGTCTCAGAAAATCCAGCAAACAAAAATCACCACTTTTAGTAGCAGTCCTGAAGCCCCGATGACTAAGAGAGTGATGCCCTCTATAGCCAACCGAGATAATAATCGAATACCTCATAATGATCATCTGGCAGGGGAAGTACCGTCTAATCAAGAAAAGGGAGGAAAATCACATGAACACACTGATGTAATTATCGTGAGGAGCACATCCTCTCAACAACAATCAACCCCGCCACAAGATTCAAAGCAAATACATGTAAACCAAGGGAGCTACACGATACAACAAGTGACACCGCCAACCCACAGTCACTCTGTCAATGAGCCCCGTTCGATATCATTTAAACCAATTTCTCCAAAACCTACACAGCACAATGCTAAAAAAGCTAAGAACGAAAAGAAGAAGGAAGACCAATTTGCAAAGAAAGAGGCAAAAATGTTGAAGAAACAACAAGAAAAATCGGCAAAGAGAGAAAACAAAAAAGCTAAAAAGATGCAACAATTAGTAGATGACTTCGCTCCAATGGATATTGAATTCGATGACGACCTTTTACTGGCGCCCACTCCCGTTAAAAATGTACCTGTTTTACCACCAGTCGTCCAGAAAGTTTCACACTCACCCGTACAAAGAGTAGTTGCCCCGTCTCCCGTTCATAGGTTACCCACCCCTTCCTCCGGTCAACATGAGCGAGGGAAACTTCTAACAGAAGGCCGCACTGACTTTGGTAAAAATGTACAAACACCACAAATTCTGACACCAACGAGGGATTCAATTGGTAAT